GCCCGACGTGGCTGCGTCACTTTTGGGTGAAGTACTCGTGGCGCGCACGCTCTCCCGGAGCAAGCCGGGACTCCCCCGCTGCAGCTTAAGGTACGACTTGGCAACCCTGGTTTCTTTGCAGACCTGGGGCTTCCCCCAGGGTTTGTTGAATCATCTGCTCTTTCTGTACCTGGCCCTGCTGTGCAGATTTTTTGATCTATGCTCTGAAGTTCAGAATTAGTTATACAAAATTGTTCCAAAGGAAAGGAAAGACCCCCTGTCATGATCTGGGCTGTGCTACCAGAGGCCTACTAGGCCCAGAGAGCCTGGCTAGCAGTAGGTGAGGCTAGGGCTACAACTCCCAGAAGCCCCTGGGAGGTTTTGGAGCCAAAATGGACCAATAGGAAAAGAGGAGGGCTGGAAATAAAAGTTCTGGAGCAGCATGAAGAGCTATTCTTTCTTCCAGAGGGCAGAGCCATAAGGAAGGCTGCTGCTGGGGAAAAACCCTCATCCTGAGGGAGGGGTGAATAGTGTAAGGCCACTTGAGATAGTGAGCTAGGGAAAGTATAGGGCATTTGATTTTTTTTCTTTTCACCCACTTACTGTTATTATTCTGCACCTTGTTGTTTGACCTCCTATAAAATAAACCTTTTTCTTGTTTCACTCTGCCTGGTCTTCACGCCTATTATTCGGCCAAAAGGGAGGTCTGAAGGTCTTTGGACCTTCTGTGGGCCTTCCCAAGGGAACCTAAATCCAGAGTGGTGGCAGCGTCAGATGACACCTACCTGAGCTGTGACACCCCCCCCAAAAAAAAAACAAATAGCCTGTTAAGGACTTACTATAATCCAGGAGCACGGTTTGCTGATGCATTTGAAAGTAAAGGGGAGACAGGAATAACTGTGTTCAAGCCCCTGGAACCTTATACAAACAAGTAGGTAGAAAGCTTAAAGTAGGAGAATTTCAGCATTTTCATATTTCCATGATCTTTCATGGGCCTCCAGTTTGTACCACTATATTTAGCCTTTGCCCTCAGAAACTGTATCTCCTACTTTCCCCCTGCCTGTAGTGTCTAAGAGCATCACTACACATGGAATTTTTTTAAAAAAATCCACCAAATATTTGTATGAATGGGCCTTGAGCCTACTCAAAAGCAATGTGACCATCGAAGAGACTGTAGGTGAATTTCCAAGGTCAAGAAATACAAATGGCTCACCTGGAAGGCTCATTTACATGTACTCCCGTCCTTTTTTAAAAAAGTCAAAACAGAAAGTTCACAAGGAGAAACTTTTTCTGAAATGCTGTTGGGTTCTCCTTGTACCTGACCAAAATAAACAAATGGGAACAGGAGAGCTCAGACTATTGCTATCAATAACAACAGTAAACGCTGAAGCAACAGTGTGTGTTGTAACTTTAAATAGATTCAGACGCAAACAATGGAAACACCTGTAACGTATACAAATTTTCAGCTACAACTTGGAGAAATTTATTTCTGGAGGATCAACTTGGAGGAAGCACGTCTATTGCATCTGAAGGTTTATAGAATATATGTCCTTGTGCATTAAGCACACACAGATACATGCCTCTTCCTGCGTCCCTTATTTTGCAGGACCTCTTTCACTGTGAATCAGCCATCCCACTCAGTATCATAGTTGCACATAGGTTTTGTTCTCACTGTAACAATGGTCCATTATGCATCTGGCATTCGCTCCACATTTTATTAGCACTTGACCTGGTTCCCCCTTGCCTTGGAATATCTGTTTTCATTGCATTGCCTCAGATCCTGGTTTCTGCATTGGCTAGTATCAGCTTGCCGTCTATTTTGTTTTCAGTGCTCACTCTTGCATTGGTATGCAGATTTTCCTGTGTCAGTACTTGCCTCAGTGGTTATTAGGCACCTGACCCAAGTAATTCCTAGTTAGGTGATAAATACAAAGGGGGAAATGGGGGTGGGGGAACTGAAGATCAATGAAGCCGTGTCAAGTTGACTGCTTATTGTTCCCTTTGAATCGGAAGCAGAGGAAGGAAAAGGTGCCCCTCAAAACCACATGCAGATACCTCGGGGACAATGCCGTACTGACTGCGAAGTCACCCCTGAACAGCCATAAATCTATGCAGAAGGTAGCATAAAACCCAATGAACAAAGAAAGTGAAAGCGGCATGCAATACAGAGGGAAATTAACCTCCCAACGTGGTTGTGGAAAAACTGCGAGGAAACAGATGGGTGCAGAATCAGCTAGTGTCTTTAGGATAATACTTTTACTTTCCCCCAGTTGCACTGTGAGGCAAGTGATCATATGGGAGAAACGTAATGGATGTACCATTGGGCAGGGCTGAAACATGCTGCCTGACTCTAGTATCTCTGTCGATTGTCCTACAAACTGTTGTTTGTTGGGGTGTCTTTGTGCTAATCTGGGACTCTAGAAAGTTTGGTTTGTGCTTGGCTTACTAACTGTGGTTTGCCATGATGTCTGAATGTAGGAATCCCAGTTTATTAAGTAGCACTGTCCACATCGGCTTCCTTAATACAGAGAAGGTATCATAGAGCAACAGAAAACCTTGCCACTCCAGCTGTATCGAGCTATTAGTGATGCTTTCTAAGGATGCTCATGCCATTTTTCTTCCACCTTCTCTCCCTAACCATTTCTCTACCAAGCAGAACTTTACTTCAGAGACTTCAGCCTTTCCCAAAGGGAAATTTAAAAGGCAGTGTGACAAGAGGTCTTGTTTAAGTCTTGCTTTTTTCCAGTTTGCTAATATGCACAAAGGAAATTGTTCCATAAACAATGTTGTTATGGTCAAAAGCGGTTCACATACAGTAAACGATTAATGTTGTATTTCATTTACCTATCTAATAATCTCATTTTTTTTCCTTCTTCTCAACAGATTAAGATGTTTAGTAAAGCAGCTGGAGAAAGGTGACGTTAACGTGGTTGACCTAAAGAAGAATATTGAATATGCAGCATCTGTATTGGAAGCAGTATATATTGATGAAACAAGGTAAGTTTTCCGAACCATTGACTGATCAGCCTGGAGACACCTGTGTGCCCATCTGATATTCAGACAGATATTCCTAAATCGTATCAGTTCTGCACAAGAAATAATAACAACAGTCGGGTTTTTGAAAGCAATCCTAAACATTTCTACTCAGAATCCTACTACAGTCAGTTCAGTGGGGTCTATTCCCAGGAAAGCATTTTTAGGATTGTACAATCATAGGCTGCAGTCACTTACACTAAATAATCCACTTTCAATGCACTTTCCAACTGGACTTTGCTAGTTCACACAGTAAGAATCCACTCTGAAAGTGAATTGAAAGTGGATTATTTAGTGTGTGTGACCGCAGCCAGAGTCTTATTGTGCTTGATTTATATTAATCTCAAAAGTTCAGGAACATGGTATTTAAGACATTTTAAATTCTAGGTCTACTTCTGAGAGCTGGCATAGTATATTGTCTAAGACTGCTTTCACAAAAGCTGGATAATATACTTTCAATACACTTTAGGAGTTATTTGCAAGTGGATTTTGCTGCTTCACAGAGGAAAATTTAGTTGCAAATAAATGCTAAAGTGCACTGAAACTAAACTGCATTATCCAATGTGTGTTAAAGCAGCCACTGAGAGCAACTTCTGAACCAGAAAAGCCCTGGTTTGGAATCTTGCCTCTGGCATGACTTTACTAGATGGTCTTGAGCAAGTCAAATTCTCTCTACCCTAAATGTGCTGATAATATCACTGACCTAGTTTATAAGATCATAAGGAATGAGTCTATCTGAAGCCCTGTGAACACTCAAAACACACTATATAAATTCAATTGTTATTGCGTTTACATGTAGAATATTAGATTAACTTCAGCTACATTACAGGGTCATTGTTTCTGTGACCTGCATTCTCTGTTCAAGAGATTAAGGTACATTTATTGGGAGAGAATGGGTACTCTGTGTGGTTCTGTTAGGCAGACAATGAATAATCTTTCTCCGTACATCTTTGAAAAGTTAGCTTTTGCATTGCTATAAATGTAGAAAGTCATCGTTGTTGCCAGGCCTTGTACACACTGGGATTTTATTGAAACTGTTTCACAGCTGATTTTTTTACGTGTTTCATTTTTTAAAACTGCTTTTAGATGGATATGTAAGTGAAACTATATCTAGTGCGAGACCAATTTTCAGCATGTTTACCTAAGTTTTAAATTTCACTACGGTGACCTTTTCACATTTCCTTCGGAACTGGATGTGCTTCTAAGCACGGCTGCCAAAATGTGCTCGGTATTGCTTGGATATAGAGCATGTGTCTGGTCCTGTTTCCTTATTAAATTTAGAAAGGTCTGAGTTTTTCATAATTCAAGGAGCCAGCCTCGTTATACTAAACGTGATATATGTAATTGCTTAACTGTATGGTTTATGTGCACATTACGCATCTGGTGCTTTTGTAACTAAGGGACAAAAGGCACGGCCTGTCTGTGATTCATTACTAATTCTAGGGAGACACAGCAATTAATAGAGCATTATCCAACAATTCTGTCGAGTTCCCAGACTTTCAGTGCAATCCTATACAAAACCACTCCATTCTAAGCCTACTCAAATCGATGAGTTTAGACGGGAATAGTTCTGCAGAGGGTCACATTGTTAGGGTGGTAGTTGTTTATCATATCCTGTAGCCGCTATGTATAAACATTTTATGGACAAATTAAAACAGCAGAGGAAATTTATGGTGCCCTATTATGATAGGCGATACATATTTTCTGCACAGGACTCCGAAGCTGACATTGCAAGACGCCGAACAGTATACATGTTATTTGCAGCTCAGAAAGTTTAATCTATATTCAGAATGGATCGGTTCAGCCATAAAAATTTAAACCATGGCTAATTGGAACTAGGGTTAGTTTGTGAAACAGGGATTCTGCTCACAGACAGTTATTCAGATCCAGGAGTCATTTCGTAGAAAAAGAGCTAGGGGAACACATTAGCATAGCTCATTAGCATATGCCACACCCCCTGACATCAGGGGCCCGGCGGTGGTGCTGCAAGGCCAGCAAGAGTGCGAGGAAGCCCCGCCAAGGCTCTCCCTGGCCCCAGGCAGGCAGGGATGGGGAGAGGCAGGGAGGAAGCAACTTACCCTCCCTCTTCTCCTGCCTCCTCCTGGCTGAATGAGGGCTGGAAGCGGGGCGGCCGGAAGCAGGGGGCGGGGCTTCGTCATGTGCCCCGCCCCCTTGCACCTCACCCAGGGGAACTGCGTTCCCCCGCGTTCCCCCCCGAAATGACCTCTGTTCAAATCCTGATTTGCTTCAACAAAGGCTTGTCTTGTGGCCTTCCCTCTGACCAGATGGCTCCGTAGTTGAGGAGCCTGTGAAGTCATTAGTGGAGGACAAGCCAGATTGACTGCACTTGTGTATCATGTGGAACTAGAGATGCCAGCCTCCAGGTGGGACCTGGGGATCCCCTGGAATTACAGCTCATCTCTGGACTACAGATATCAGCTCCCTTGGAGAAGGTTGAGGCGTTGGAGGGGGGGACTGTAGGGCATTGTACCCCACTGAGGTCCCTGTCCTCCCCAGGCTCCACCCCCAAATCTCCAGGAGTTTCCCAACCTGAAGTTGGCAACCCCATGGGAACCATAGTTTAAGACTGTGATTAATAATCCAAGTTAATCATTTCAGGTATTGGTTTGACAGACCCTAACTAAGCATGATTAATGGAGTGTGCATTTAGACAATCGCAATAGCCATACCTAGTTAAATTAAACCATGGTTTTGTGAGACATCTGAACTGAGTCATTGTATGAAAGCCCCTATATGAGTTCTGATCAATTAAAAAAATATCTAAAGGAAATCTCAAAGTTTAATCTAAACTTGGATCCTGAAATCACTGGAGACCACCGTTAAAACAGTGGTTCTAGTTTTAACACCTTTTCCAGCAACTTCAGCAGTGGGACAGGTTAGGAAGGGACAGACCCTTTTGCTCACGATTCTGATCCCCTGTGATTATTCCCCATTTATATTAGTGTGCGTGGTTAATTCAGCTTTGCAAATCAATTCAGAAAAGTTACTCCCACCCATCCATCCACCCACCCATCCATCCACCCACCCAGTCATGTTAAATCCAGAAGATTTACTGTGAGATAAAGGTGATACAGCAACCCCAAGAGGTGGCTTTTGCCACCCATTCATTTATCCACCCGCCCGCCCACCCATCCATCTATCTTTATTACGGCCCACAGCTGTATAGAAGCAAAACAAACAATGTTGATTACATTCAACCTAGTACATCAGAAAATGAAAAGGGTTAGCAGTTATTAGGGTAAATTCTACACAGCACCTTATCTCAGCCTGTATTTTCATAGTAGAGAACAGGAACCATAATGTTAGTGGCTGACACTTGAGAAACACGTGAATTAAAAAACAACAACGACACACTTTAACCAAAAAATTTAAAGGCCTCTAAACCCAGCTAAACAGCCCATCTGTCCTGGAATCACACAATCTTCTTAAAGAAGATGATGCAAAGAAACCCCAAATGTTAGAGCTATTCGGGAAGCTTATTTTATTGTTGTTGCTTGCCTGGATGTAATTTAGAAATCTCACAAAGAAGCAAAAAGAAAGATGGCTAGCCCGTCAGTGCTGGTTCCTCTTCACGGATTCTGAGTGGCCAAATACAAAGCAAAAATGATTTCTGCCCCAACATGCATTTACTTACGAAAAATATGATGCAGAATGTTATAAACAAGGCTTAAGGAGTGTGGGTGGAACTGGTGGTGTGGGTGGAACTGGGGTGCCATCGAGTCACAACCGACTTACGGTGACCCAGCAGGGTTTTCAAGGCAACAGACATTCAGAGGTGGTTTGCCTTTGCCTGCCTCCGTGTCATGATGACCCCGGTATTCCTTGGAGGTCTCCCATCCGAATACTAGCCAGGGCTGACCCTGCTTAGCTTCCAAGATCTGGTGAGATGGGACCAGCCTGGGCCATCCAGGTCAGCGCTGTGAGTGGAACTGCTCTGTACAAAAGGTGACTTTCCTGCAACTCCTCCCACTACAGTCTTCAGTTCCGCCTGAAATTGAGCTTCCTTGGGTCAGTCAATCCCTAGGAGTGGGGGGGGCAAAATGGAAGATCGCAGCGAGTGGGCTGCCTACCACAAGCAGGAAAGGCACTCAGGATCCAAGCCCCCCCCATCTCTTGCTTCCTCGCCCTCTTTAATTTGACCCAGGATTTGGTAAAATGCCAGCCAGACCTGGGTTCTATTAGCAGGGCTCATAATATGAAATAATGTTGGCAACCCCTGGAAACGTGTGGGAGAGCAGAGGCAGAGACTCACAGATTGTGTCCTGTAACATCATGATGTCATTTTCTGCTGTGTAACCTGAAAATGATCAGAGATCAGGTTGCGAAGATAGGAGCAGAAGTCTAACATTCATAATTCATAGTTACCAAGTCAGGATTATTCATCAGTCCAAGATGGTCTGAGTACCAAGGGATTTTAAGGAGAAATCCCATCCTTGCACCCATGTGCTCCAGTTCACAAAGCAACTCTTTGTCTCTCACGAGGCAGCATTTCCAGGTGCAATAAAACAGGCAGCAAGAGGAAGAAGGGAGAGCTAAGCAAGAGAGCAGCCAGAGCAAGCAAGAGGCTCACTCCCATAGTGATCAATGGAATTATAGCCCAATCTAATCGCAATCAGCTGTGGCCATCAGCCAATCACGAGTGGACAGGTGTGTGTTGCCAATTGTTGGTTGCCATAGCTGCAACACAGGAATGGCTAGAAGTTTGGAGGTCCCTCCTGCAGTCAGGTGACCCAAACTTCACAGCTTCGTCATTGTATACATGAGTAGTCGCATGTGGGCCAGAAAGTGGTGCCATGAGGTCTTGCTTTTGGCATAGAAGTGTGAAAGAATGTGGGTTTATGGCATGGCTATTGAGGTATTTCAGGCCATTTGGTCTGCCCTGGACCATTTGGCCTGCAACAGGAAACAAGACATAGCATGTTATCAAAAGACATCACTGGAGA